CAGGTACAATTAGAGAAAAGGAAAATCTCTAAATGGGTGGATTTGGTGGGGGGCTGTGAGAAATAGTGGGCCTAGCCATGAGCAGTCTATGAAATCTCAAATAGAGGCCCACGAATAAAATAACAACTGGTGGCCCTAAAGTTTAGTACCACCCTGGAAGTTGAGGAGGTGTGAGACCTCTTTATATAGTGGGTTCTCTCCACCATATTAAGTGATGCGTTGAGGAGAGAGATATAAGACCACAACGCATACTCACTTGTCTGGCCAAGCACGAGCAGGGCAGGGGCGACACGTGCGGGACATGCGCGTGAATGGTACACCAAAATCCGGTATGTTGCCTTGCAGGGGGCACATCTTCCTTTTTCCATTTTATTTTTTTGTGTCTTGTCAGTCAAGTTCATTAGTTCTTGTCCGATAAGTATACAACTTAGAAACCAAGTCAGTTTGAGATCGTGATCGCAACAAGATACCGCCTCTGGTTCTATTATATATATTCCTACCAGGCGCGGCCAAAGACACATCGAAAAACACCTAGGGTTTTGCATCATCTCGCAATTTGCGCCGCCACTATAGTCTACTCCATCTTGAATGCTGGGGTGCATCGGCGTGCGAGAGAACAGGTCTCCGGAACCATTTGTCCTTGCGATCTTGCATTGGGAGAGGACGAATTAGGGTTTGGGAAGCATTCTGTGCGTCTACTCAGGTTCGTAATCATGCGTCGTCTTCCACCTAAGTTGGACGGTGTTACTCTTCGTCGTCTCCAACGCCATCCGCAACAAGTTGTCGCCAACATCATCATCAACAATGTCACTCCCACGACAGCTAATGAAAAGTACATCCATCATGATTTGTTGCTTGATTGTTGCATGCTACTTTTTGTTCTAGTCATGAAATATCTACTGGAATTAATCATGAATTTGCATAATATTCCAACAGATGGCTGCAGCGGCGGCTGAACCAGATGGCGGTGACTGACAGACGCCATCTCAAACGGCTGCCCGCATGGCACGCACGAGAGCAGAGGAAGTGGTGTGGCACCGGCAGTGCCTAGCCGACAGGAAGGCGACGCGACACAGAGGGAGATGGTGCGACTATGGTCGTGGATGGAAGAGTTGGCGATAGGGGCTGACAACACCATGGCTAGCTCAAGCAGTAGCCCCAACAGCGTGCCTGAGGGCAGGGGAGCCGGAGCATCGGCCCCGATGACCGGCGGTGAGGTGGGGAAGGAAGGTGGCGCAACAACCCGGCGATCTCTGGTGTCATTCCGGTCATCCGACGACTGATGGACTCAAGCGTTGACGCGTGAACCTTAAGGAAGTTGTCTTCTACCGACGTCAACTATGGATAGGGAGAGTTGAAACTCTTCCTCTATTTGAGAAGAGAGATGGGGTGTTTTTTGGTGAGATCTATTTTTTTGAATTTTAAAAAAATAGTGGAGCAGGTTTTTTTGCCTCAACTCTTCTTATACTTTTCTTTGACAAAAAGTATTTCATTTATTCATCTGTGAGAACCAAAGTATCACATATAATAAAAGAAACCACCTCAACCGGAGGTGACTCCATCCAAGTACCGGGGATAGAAAATCTAGCTAACTTAGCTATTTCATGGGTAACTTGATTGCTCTCCCTATTACAATGAGTGAACAAAAATGATTACAATCCTGAGTCATGTAGTAGCAATCATCAAAATAGCTCCCACCACTGAACTCGATCTTCCTTCTTGCAAGGCCGAAACTACATCGACATTATCGGATTCCAGCTCTAGCTTGTTACATCCGACGGTTCTAGCCAAGTTTAGCCCAAATCTAACCGTTGTCACCTCTGCGATGAAGGCATCGAAACAGAAGCTCATTTTCTCATTGGCCGCGGTTATAAACTTCCTATTATGATCACAGATAATAGCCCCAACAGCCCCTTCTAGTTGATCCTCATCGAATCCATCATCAACATTCAATTTTGTATAATTCGTCCTGGATTTCGTCCAAGTAGTTTTGCGTATTTTTGCTTTTGGACTGCAAGCGATAACAAAGTTTGCGACCAACCCTCTGATCGCTAGGTGGATTTGCACTGCACTTTGTGTTTGTTCACCGTGGGCAAGGTACCTTCATGCATACCACAAGTACCAAGCAACAGTCGCCATTGTTTCTCGCAAGTTTTGCAGACATAGGACATGCACGTCCTATTCTCAGAGACACAACAAATGCTCCAAAATTGTTTCTCCGACTAGATATGATATGCATGCTTTTTTAGCAATATCATAAAACCCTAGCAATTTCCATGTTGTCGCGTCCTCGTGGCATTCAAAGAGCAGGTGCTTCAAACTATCAGGACCAAGGTTGCAAGCTGAGCAATGCACCTTTACCTTCAAGTGTTTAGCAACTAATATTGCCCGATAAGGAATGGCACTATAGTACTCTCCATATGAACATCTTGATCTTAGCTGGGCATGCTAATCTCCACACCGAATCCTAAATATCATTGTCGGTGGAAGCTCTTGCATTGGGTTGAATCTTATGGCCATACTGAAACTCCCACTCTTCATGATAGGCTGATTGGACCGAAAAAATCCCAGTTCTTGAGCAGCTCCATGCCACAAGATCAGTCATATCATATAAAGGTAGAGGGGTAGCCAAGATTCTATGAGTGTCTATCAGCCAAAATGTTGCGTCACGATCTGTTCATCCTAGTCTCTTGAACCCAGATCTATGAGATCAGATACACGTGAAAGAAGATTATTCCCATGGACAGTTAGAATCTTTTGGAGGCTGACTGAGGTATCCATGGATCATTCTAGATGATAACGTTCTGACTGTTCCCAATTCTCCAAATATATCCCATCCTCAATGTCTCCACTCCTGCCATGACACTCTGCCATGTGAACGATGTTTTTCTGTTCAAAGTAGCATTCATCACGTCTCCCTCCGAAAAATACTTTGCTTTTAAAATTACTACACATAAAGATTCCAGATTGTCAATCAGTCGCATGCCTATTTAGCTAACAATGCGAGGTTGAAACAATGGATATCCCTAAACCCCATGCCTTCTTGCTTTTTTGGTATACACATCTTCCACCACGTGAACCACTTCATCTTTTTCTCTCTTGCATCATCACCCCACCAAAAACTAGATATCACATCTAATTTTCCTTTGCAAATTCTTTTGGAAATTTTAAAGACCGACATCGAGTAAGTTGGTATAGCTTGAGCAAAAGATTTTAACAGGATCTCTTTACCTCCTGAAGATAAGCACTTCTCCTTCCAGCCCATCAGTCACTGAATAAGGCGGTTAATCAATATTGAATACTATCACTTTTATCAAGGCCTAGGGTTGTTGGCAGCCCCAAGTATTTATCATTCAATGCTTCTGACATTATATTAAGTGTAGTATACACCGTTGCCTTCATATTCACTTTGGTGCTAGGGCTGGAAAACAATACTTGATTTGTCCACACTGACAATCTGTCTTGATGTTGAGCAATATCTACCAAGTAGAGATTTCAAGCAAGCAACATTACTCTCATTTGTCTTCATTAAAATAATAGAATCATCAACAAACAAAGGATTCGTAACTGCGGGTGCGTCACGACAAACCTTTGCTCCCTCCAGCTCTCTAGTTTGTCCAGCCGAGGAAGTGAGCAATGCCCTATTCTCCATCGGGGACTTCAAGGCACCCAGCCCGGATGGCATTCATGCCCTTTTTTACAAAAGGTTATGTCCTATGCTAGGTGATGACTTGGTGTTGGAGGTCCTACAGGCGGTGAATAGTCGAGTAATGTCACAAGGATGAAATAATACCACAGTTATCATGATTCCTAAAGTACAAACTCCAGAAAGGGTAACACAATTTAGACCCATCAGCTTGTGTAATGTGATGTACAAAGTGATATCTAAAATGATAGCGACCATAACATCCTTCTCCTAGATATAAGTAGTCCTACACAAAATGCTTTCATTCCAGGAAGACTTATTACAGATAACATCCTAATTGCTTATGAAATCTTAGACACAATTAATCAGAAGAAGGTGGGGAAGGAAGGATGGTGCGTGGTGAAGCTGGATATGCATAAGGCCTATGACATAGTCGAGTGCGTGTTTCTGGAAGCAATGTTCTTGAAGTTGGGTTTTCATGCCGATTGGGTTCATCTGATTATGACTTGTGTGTATCGATGGAATACAAGGTAAGATTTAATTCATCAGAAACTATCATACCTTCTAGAAGGCTTCGATTGGGTGACCCTTTATCATCATATCTATTCATGTAGTGTATGGAACGACTTACAACTTTTCATGTACTTTTTAAATAAAGAGGGACTGATGGAGATGATCTCTTTTCGTCGGAAGAACACTATATCTTTTATATGAAAATTACCCCCACTAACTATTTCTCTTAACATGCAAGCATATGCCACATTATCGCACAACATGCATAAGAAAATGTTCACCTCACTACCATATGTCTCTTAACATGCAAACATGCCACTTGATCATGACATGCATGAAAAAAAGAACCATTTCAACATGCAAACATACATGAGAATTTTCATTCTATTATGCTACATATATTTAATAAACATTTTACGACTATATAGTAATCAAACATAATAAATTATATGTATTTTTAGTTTTAACTTTTTTATATTATTACTTCAAATATTCATGTTTCATACAATGAATCACATTACAATATGTTGCAAAATATCTCGCAACAACATGCAGAGGTATCGTCAATTTTTTTTTTTGAGGGGAAGAGGTATCGTCTAGTTGAAGACGTGACATGCGAGGTATCGTCTAGTTGAAGACGTGACTCGTGACAAGTAAACTAGAATACGTAAACTTCCAGGGAAGACGGACATGTAAACAGTAACCTAAGCCGGGAGGCGGGTTTACGTTCCCGTACTCTTCCTGTCGTCTTCCCAACTGGCCCCTCCGAGTCTCCGGCCATCCCATCCTAGAAACAAGCGCCGAGGCCACAACCACCGCGCGGCCACACCTCCGGCGATCCATGTCCGGCGGTGGGTGCAGCATCCGCGCAATCTGGATCCTCACGCCAAACGACGCGGTTGCCTTCTCCAGGTACGCACGCCCGACACCGACCCCACCTCGCGAACCCCCGAGATGAAATCCGGGGATTCTCGCGCCAGGATTCGGTCCTTCTGGTCCAGGAACTCACCTCCCCCCTTCCTTCAGGCGGTTTGCAGTGGTGGAGAAGCGGTGGCGGGTCGCGTGGGAGGCGGAGGGGGCGGGGAAGGGCGCGGAGATGCCGCTGCCGGCGGACTACGAGGTCGCCGCCGCGTTTGCCAACCGCCGGAGAAGGTTTGGCCGTTGTTTCTTGGTTCTTGTACTAGCTTTCTCCGGAGAATTGGCGTGGTCGAGTAAAAATTAGATACTATGTTACTCGTCCTGGAAGTGAATTATGATTTAGATGCAGAATCGTTACTTAGCAATGCCTGTTTCTTCTGAACAAAGGATAAATGTATCCGAGATAGGTATTCATATTAGTTCAGAAGTTCATCCACTGATGAAACTATAACTCGATCAGCACATGTTATGGTATGTTCATGGCTTATAAAATAGTTGCAATAAACACTTAAATATGACATTGTGCAGGGAAGGCACGGCCCGTGGCTCTGGTATCCGCACAAGCTTATCATCTGTTGGATCGGATTCCTGGGTCGATGATCCAATCACTCGTCACATTATATCCCTTCAGATTGACAAAGAGGAAGGGGGTGGGTTTATGCTGTGGCCAGTAGTTCTTCAGAAACGTGGAAGCTATTATGTCCTTGTGCTGCCTCTGGTGGATCCTCAGTTATTTAATGCGTTTGAGAGCCTACTGAAAAGACCTGATTGCGGGAGTTCAGCAAAAGAGAATGGCAATCTTTCTTCCATTCTGCTCAATCTTCCGTGCATAACAGGGTAATGTAAGTTTGCTTACCTTATTTATGTGTGTTCTTTGTTGTTTCATTCTTTACACTAGCAACCCCATTTTTCAACTCATATATTTTAATATTTTTGAGTTTTATACTACTATCAATCAATTAACGATCATGTTCACTAGTTGGACTCTCATACTTCATGTTCCATGATAGGGCCTTTATGGTTGCGAATGTTATTGGCGACATAATTACTGGTGATGTTGCTGAACCAGAGGTGATCGTTAGTTCAGGCCCCTCTGTTGGTGGACTGTTAGATTCATTGACTGGAAGCATAGGCATTACAGCCCGGTCAAAACCTATCGCTGCGCCTGTTGCAGCCCCAGTTGCATCAGTTTCCTCGCCTGTAGGTGCTGCTCAGTCAGACTCTTTAAAAGGTGGTATAAGACCTTTTGACAAGGAATTACTACGAAGCTTCATCATTGGTGCCATGCCTTTTGGTGAGTATCATGTCGAATATAACACTTTGTGCTGTTCTATCATCTAGCTTCATGGATCTTTTTATTGATTAACCAACGAAGCTAACAGTATATTTTTGCAGGCACACCTCAGGATCTTAATTATGGCAATGTTTCTTCGATTAGAACAACTGGGTATTCAGCTGATCCTCTTCCGACAGACCAGAAGCAACCTGCCTGGAAACCTTACCTATATAAAGGGAGGCAACGGACTCTCTTTTCTAGCCTGGAGACTATAAACGCTGCACTATATGACCGTGATGATGTGCCAGATTTCCTTTCTGTTTCGGGTCAACTAACCTGTAGGGCTGAACTGGAAGGGTTACCTGATGTTTCTTTGCCACTGACTGGGTTAAAAACTGCCCGTGTGGAGGTATCATCATTCCACCACTGTGTTCAAGCTTCAGAGCCTACTGGTGATAAGCAATCTCTGCTATTTCAACCACCACTAGGAAATTTCGTTTTGATGCACTATCAAGCTCCATGCAACATCAATCCACCTGTGAAAGGGTTCTACCAGTTGTCTATGGTATCTGAGAATGAAGGTGCTTTTCTATTTAAGCTGAGACTGATGGAGGGTTACAAGTCCCCGTTTCTTATGGAATTTTGCATGGTTACAATGCCATTTCCTCGAAGAAGAGTTGCATCATATGACGGAAATCCATCAGTTGGGACGGTTTCAATGACAGAACATTTAATTGAGTGGAGAATTGTTTCAAGTGGCCGGGGCCTCAGTGGTAGGAGCATTGAAGCTACCTTCTCTGGTACTGTTAAATTTCATCCTAGAACAACGCAACGAGTAAATTCATCATTTCGGTCGGTCGTGACCACTGCATTTGCTGAAGATAGTGATTGTGAGGAAGATAACGCTAAGAATGGTGCCAACTTGGATGACTACCTCATGGAAAAAATGAACAAAGACCTTCAAGCAGTTGACTTGGAAGAGCCATTGTCTTGGCAGGCTTATAATTATGCTAAGGTTTGCCTCTACCGAAACATAATGTTGTTGGAATTTGTCAAGTCATTCTTTCATGATGTTATTTTGAATATGAGATCATTGGGAACAATCATATCGGTCACTGTATTTCTGACAAGCCTGGCCACTCTTCTTCGTATTGCTTTCTCAGCATATAGTACTAGCTCTCAGTTGTTCTGTTCTGTTGGTTGATATAGGATCATGCAGCTGTTCATTTTGCATGACATTCTGTTATTCATATTTGTACCTGGGATCATAGAGTATAATCTGGATTCTGGAACAACCACTGTATCATATTTGTTCTTCCTTATGCACACCCGTGAAGTCTTTTAGTATCCATACAGCAGCGCACATGTACTTCTCATTTGAACTTGTTTTTCAATATTAATTGATTATGAAATATTCTCCAGGTGTCTTTTAAGATAGTTGGTGGTACCCTGTCTGGTCTTATAATCGACCCAAGATCTGTAAGTTACCCACAACCTTTCTTGGTCACCATCTTCACTCACTCAGTCAAGTAGCTTACTGTTGTTATCCAATGTTGATGCCCTCATGCCAGCTTAACTTTTTTAGCCATTGTTCTTCACAAATTTTAATCGATATCCACACATATATTTTGTCCATGTTCTTATGTTTTAGTGCTTGATAGGTGGTACATATTACAGTTTCCTTACTACCATGCTGAAGAGATTGCTAAAGAATCACACCCTTTCATGTCCTGACCTCCATTATGAAATAGTTATTTTCTCCTTGTTGTAGCATTTCCTCCCATTCTTTATTCAAATAATTGGGTCACCATTAAACATCATGTTTCCTGTACTATATTCTGCAGGTAACCGTTTACCCTTCTGTCAAAGCCCCAGTAGAATACTCAATGCAGGTGACTTCCTTATCTCATTCCCTCGAACTTTGGTTCTATAAATAGTCAATGCACTGAAAAACCTGTTATTTTTCTGAATTTTCTCAACATTTCAATAATTGCCCTAAGAGAACTGTACAAACTACAGGAAGAATCGTACAGTGCATGCGTGGGTTTGCATATGCAAAAGTATTACTCCCTCTGTTCACAAATGACGTTTTGACAGTTTAACTGCCAAAACGTCATTTGTGAACAGAGGGTGTACTTTGCTTTGTTAGTGCTGAACTAACTATAAGCATTTTGATCTGATGCGAAGCACCATCCTAGCTTCTGTTGCACACAGTATTTATAAAGTCGTGTTTGTTATTTGTAAGTCGCCTGAAACAATTCGGGACGTGGATGTGCAGCCCTAAGCCTGAGACAGGGACAGCCGGTTGGCCGTGGCATCGCCAGTGCAGCAGTGGCCTGGTGGGGGAGGCAGTTTGGGTAGGCTGGGGCGGCGAGGCACACGCGGCAGCGTGTGTGGGTGGGGTCTGGGAGGGGGTTCAGGCCTGTGCAGGACTCTGGCTTCCCTCTAGAATAACTAGTTGATGCCTGGTTGCCTTTTCCCTCTTCATCCCTGCTTATCCCCACTTCCTCTGTGGAACATGATCTTTTCATCTGTAAAATTCACACCTTGAACATAAAATATAATTTATGCTAGACTAACATCACAAAAGATTTGTTCCACAAATACACATTTGATCTGTTTATCCAAACAGATAAATTGTACTTGAATTACCGTGTTATCCCTAATCGGTTATGAGACCCCTGTACGGACCATCAATACAAGATACTCTTTGATAACATTGCTCTCCTTTGGCAGGCCTCTTCTGGAGACTACATACTATGGAATACCTTAGGAAAATGTCCTTCCGCAGCTTTGCCAAAAGAATTATGATTGGCAGTGTTCATGGCCAGGCACAGTTTTTTGGTCCCACCAGAGCTGTGATGGAAGTTTTCTCTTATAGTTCTTATAATTCAGGAAATAGTGTTTCAAGTGGGAAACAACAAATCTGTACATCATTTTTGTCAGACAAGTTTGGTATGCTGATCTTAGATTTCATGGCTCTATGAGATCTCGAATCCATGCTCTTCTCTTATTAGCAATAATTTTTCTATACCCCCTGGATTCTTTCCATTGTATCCGAATTTGACGCTCGTTGTAATGCTATTTTTATGATCACCGCTCAAATTCATGGTGCGTTGAGAAGCTGGAGACGGTGCCAGACATGACCCGGATTTCCTTCTTTGTCCCGTCAAAATATGTTACCGCTGCATAGTTTTTCTTCCATCCACTAGCAGTATGTGTAAATGGGGTGCAGCATCTTTTCTAGGTTCAGTGAATCGAGACACTGATCTGTTGGTCATGTCATGCATGATGCCATCGAGATGGGGGCGGTCGAATATTCGGAATTGTCTTGACAAGCTAGTCTAACATAAAGCTGCATGGTCCTAATCACGAATATAGAGTCGAGATGATCAACTTTCAACAAAAAGGAGAAACCTTTTAGGTCAATTATCCCCCTTTTCAGTTTATAATCTCTTTCAAAAAGGGTGACATGGGTATCTTTCTAAAATCATTTTACTGTTTCATTGTACCACAAATTGGAGGTGAGGAAAGTGGTATAGCTCACCACCGTTCTTTTTTTGTGAAAAAGGTAAACTTTTCCGTTTCCTGTTTCTGTACCCTACAATACAAGATTTCCTCTATGGTTTTCTCACGCTATTTTGAGTTTTTTTTAGGTTTGTGTCCTGCTCAGGGAGACGAGGCGGCGATGGCTCTCTGAAGATGGAATAAGATTCTTCCCGCCTTGTCCCCGTTTCGGTGGTGTTTTTAGCATCGTCGGAGGGCGTGTGGAGATTTGTCTTCGGCGGATTTCGTGGGATTCAGTTGGTGTTTGTTTTCGGTGGATTCACGTGGATCTTGTCTTCATTCGTCTGTGTTCGTGTGTTCACATGTTGGATTTTTCCGATCTACGTTTCTCTTCATCGGCAGCGGTTGCTATTCTGCCGCGTTTGTCTTATGGGGCTTTAACACGACGACTTTCCGACTGTCTACTAAAACAAGGTTTGCCCGGCTCCGATGAGGCAGGGCGAAGACGGTGGCGAGCCTTCGGCTCGCTTCAGTGCTAGTAGTCGTCGCTAAGTGGTCAACAGACCTAGATGTATTTTTTAATTCTTTTTTGTACTATCTTGACAGTTGATAAATACTCCCTCCGTCCCATAATGTAAGACACTTTTTGACATTATGAGACGGAGGGAGTAGATTGGAAGTTATTCTCGCAAATTTTTTTTTGCAAGATTTCCTGTATGGTTCTCAATCATACTATTAACAAAGAAAACCTAATGGAACTGCATTGCGATATAATTTTGCAAGACAAAAAAGTGTGGTACTACTACTAAAAAACATGGCAATCTAACTAAATTTACTTGATATTTAGCGTTATTTTATTTTATTTTTTATAGTCAGTATAGTACTGTACTAGTAGAATGGTTTGGATTCGCTTTGGTCCATGGCCACAGAATCCATCATCAGTTTTCCAACCGGAGGACTTCTTTCAAAAAAATGTTTGAGGCTGCTGCCCAAGCAGAGAAAGTGACCGGCACACTTTACAGAGACCAAACCTGACCCTGCCGCCTTCGCCGCCCCCTCCATTTTCCTAGAAATCGCAAACCCCACCACACCGATAACCTAAGCTTCAAATTCAGAATATACCACCTCAAACTACGCAGAAATTCTTCACGCGCCCAATACCCACCACTGCCGGCGATGAACACCACCGAGGGAAAGCCGGGCGCCGCTGCGGTGGAGGAGATGGCGCGGGAGGCGGCGGCGTGGTGCGCTATGCACGGGCTCGTCGTCGGGGACCGCGCGGACCCGGTAAGGTTCTCGCCTCCTCGGTTCAAACTTCCATGGCTCTTCTTGGATCGGCCGGCCAAGCTCAGGACCGCAATCTTTGAATGAGCAATCTTTGAGTGAGCTTTGATGCGATGAGCAGAGCTCGGAATATCCATCGTCCATGACCAAGCATTCATTGTTGCTGCCTGTCCTCTTGCAGAGATCAGGAACAGTTCCTGGGGTTGGGTTGGTCCACGCTCCAATCTCCCTGCTCCCGTCGCGTCTCCCGGAGTCCTTCTGGAGCCAGGCGTGCGAGCTGGCCCCGCTTTTCAACGAGCTCGTGGATCGTGTTAGCTTGGATGGGGATTTCTTGCAGGATTCCTTGTCCAAGTGAGTTCCGTTGCCATGTTAACCTCTCCACGTTTTCATTCACAGCCTCTGCCTGCAAGTTGACCAGGATAAAAGAAGCGTACCAGCTCACAAAATTATGTCAATTATTCTTGTAGATATGCCTTGAACTTTTTTAGAGGCTGTATATCGACGAATCAGATTGTTGATAATTTGATAAGGATTTTAATGGAGCTCTTTGGCTGATAGCCTGCCTGATACATTCATACTTGTACTTTCAGAACAAGGCAGGTTGATGATTTCACTTCTAGGCTCTTAGATATTCACAGGAAGATGATGGATGCAAACAAGGAGGAGGTTATTCACCTCACCTCTACTACTCAGTCAACTTCTATACCTGAACATTAATAGATCCATCTAGTCTCTTGGTCCCTATTTTGGTTGATGTCCTTACTGTATGGTACTGACAAATGCTACTTTTTTCACTAGAATATTCGACTGGGGCTGCACCGATCAGATTATATGCTGGATTCAGAAACCAATTCTCTTCTCCAAATAGAGCTCAACACTATTTCAGTATCTTTTCCTGGGCTTTGTTCTATAGTGACTGAGCTTCACAGGTAAAGTAGAACATGCTTTGGTATTACATTGCTATGCTTGTGTGTATTTACACTGTACCTTTACTTGAGAAATCTGGTTAGGTAATTGTACACATGGTTTTTATGTCCAAAAAATTATTTCTACACTTCTAAATGATGCTGCATTGCAATTGTGATGTTAAATGATATGTCTTCTATGTTTACGTAGAGATAAGTAAGAATTCCTTCCTGCGTTCCAAATTATTTGATGTTCTAGCTTTGTCCTAAGCCAAAGATCTCTACATTTGACTAAGTCTTACTAATGGATACTATGAAGTTTTGTACTTTGTACCTATAGGGTATTTCTAATCAGATTTATTATTAAGTCATCAGTATGTGTAGTAAATCAACTGATCACTAACTGCTATGCAGGACCTTGATCAATCAGTATGGAAATTTATTATGTCTAGATGCCAAAAGGGTTCCTGGAAATGATGCAAGCCGTCAATTTGCTAAAGCATTGGCCAAAGCATGGGATGAGTTTAATGTTGACAGGTTTGGTACGCTCTAGCTGAATCATGCATATTATAGCTAACCAATTGAGTATTAACTGACACACTTTTTCATGAAATGTTCAGTGCTGTAGTTATGATGATTGTTCAGCCCGAAGAAAGAAATATGTATGACCAATACTGGATTGTCAAATATTTGAGGGAATCATATCCTTTTGTGATCTGCTTTGGCACTTCTCTTAATGATGAAAATTATATATGATTTTCTATAAAAGTTCTTGCTTAGCAAAAGATGCCATGACTCAGTTGCTTAAAGTTTGCTTTGTTAAAACGTTCTTCCTGCCAATGCAGTTGCCATCTTGATACGGGGAAAACCATAGGAATGGCCCGATCTTCACTATTTGGAGATGGATCTGGGTGAAACACAAAGAACAACTGTGGAAAATGTTGTTGGATTTTGTGGATTTCTCTTCTCTAGTCAGGAAGCTAAGGGGGGAAGCTAGGGATTTCTGGAAGAACCTTATCTCCCGATTCATTCCTCCTTGTCTCAGTATATACAAACTACATTTACATTTTAACCCTTCTCACTTTCCTATTTGCAACTAACTCCTCACAACACTCCCCCTCAAGATGGGGTGAAAATGTCTAAGAGCCCCATCTTGCCACACAACTTAAAGAAGGATACAACACTCACGCCCTTTGTTAATACATCAGCAAGTTGGTCTCCAGTTTTAACAAAACCTACTTGAAGTACTCCCTCATCAAGTTTCTCCTTAATAAAATGTCTATCAATTTCGATATGTTTTGTTCTATCATGCTGAACCGGATTGTTGACAATGTTGATTGCGGCTTGATTATCACAATGGAGCCTGAGTGGTCCTCCTTTAAACAACCGAAGTTCAGTTAATAATAATCGAAGCCATAACAACTCACATAGCCCTGAAGCCATGGATCGCAGCTCTGCTTCTGCCGTGGATCTGGCGACAACACTTTGCTTCTTACTCCTCCAACTGACTAAATTTCCTCCCAAGAAGACGCAATAACCTGAAGTGGATCTCCTGTCATCCAAGCACCCAGCCCAATCAGCGTCTGTGTATCCCTCAACTTCTAGATGCCCATGGTTGGAAAGGAGAATTCCTTTTCCAGGACAACCTTTGAGATACCGCAGAATTCTATTTACTGCATCTAGATGACCTGATCGAGGATCATGCATATATCTACTCACCAGGCTCACGGCATATGCAATGTCTGGTCTAGTATGGGATAGATAAATTAAACGTCCCACAAGTCTCTGGTATCTCCCCCTATCAACAGGTTCTCCTGAATTGGCTGTAATACGAAGGTTTGGTTCAATTGGTGTGGCAACTGGTTTACTTTCAAGCATCCTAGTTTCAGCGAGAAGATCAAGCACATATTTCCTTTGAGAGAGATAGATACCTTGAGCTCCATAAGCTACTTCTATTCCCAGGAAGAAGTGGAGGAAGCCAAGGTCTTTGACTTCAAATGATTTCGCCAACATTTTCTTCAAGTTCTTTATCTCCACGTCATCATTCCCTGTGATCACAATGTCATCAACATATACGACCAATACGACAGTTTTATTTCCGTGGTGCTTAAAGAAAAGGGTATGGTCAGCATTGCTTTGTCGAAAACCCAAAGTGCAGACTTCCTTGCGAAATCTCCCAAACCAAGCCCTTGGTGACTGTTTAAGTCCATAAAGTGATTTCTTCAATCTACACACTTTACCCATTGTCTCAGGCCCACTGAACCCTGGTGGAATCTCCATATAAACTTCTTCTTTCAAATCTCCATGAAGAAATGCATTCTTCACATCTAGCTGAAACAACTTCCACTTGTTATTTGCTGCCACCGAGATTAAAGCTCTGATGGTGTTCATCTTTGCAACTGGGGCGAAGGTTTCATCATAGTCCACTCCATATGTCTGGCTATAACCTTTCGCCACAAGTCTCGCCTTATATCTATCTACTTTCCCTTCGGGTGTATGTTTTATGGTAAACACCCATTTGCAACCTACCACTTTCTTGTTACAAGGAAGTGGAGTAATTACCCATGTATTATTCTTGTCGAGAGCAGACATCTCCTCAAGCATTGCTGCCCTCCACTTTGGGTTTAATTTTGCCTCCTGCCAGTCCCGTGGTAAGGGTTCTGCAGAATCCAGCGCTGCAATAAAGGACTTGTAAGAAGGACCAACAATGTCATAAGAGACATAGTTGGAGACATTATAAGGATCCAATTTAGAGGGCAATTTTCTGGCACTAGCTCGTGGTTGCTTTCTATAAGCTATTGGGACATCAAGGTCATCATATTGAGAAGAGATGTTACCACTGTCCAAGGAAGGTCCAGTATCACTAATTTGAACTTGAGTATTATCTTGTTGGTCAGCCTCCTTCTCTTGCTCACCATGTTGCCCATAAGCCTCGGGCTCAGGTTCCAACACTTGCGTCCTTTCCTCCTCAATACGACGTCTTCGTGTATACACCTGAATCCCCCTTTCCTCATTTGGTTTTGGCCACCGGAATGCTTCACTTGATGTATCATACTGCTGCTCATGTCTTCGTTCTTGCTCTGTTTCCACTGGAATTACCCCAACTATCATCTTTCTTGATGTTGCATCATCTTCCTCTTCCTTATCTCCCCCTGTCTCACAATCTGCATCTAAATTTTCATTAGCAAACAAATCAGGGAAGACATCAGTTAAATCCGTCGGTTCACCATAGAATGGTTCCTGCTCCCTAAATACCACATCCATACTCACAAACATTCTCCTTTCAGATGGACACCAACATTTATATCCCTTTTGCTTACCAGAGTACCCCACGAATACACACTTTAACGCCTTTGGATCTAGCTTGCCAACAGATGGTCTGTAATCCTTCACAAAACAAACACACCCAAAGACCTTAGGTGGAACCACATATTTTGTTTCACCCGTTAGACACTCTAACGGTGTTTTATAACCAAGTACCCTGGATGGCATTCTATTCATCAAGTAAGCAGCTGTCATTACAGCTTCACCCCACAAAAACTTAGGAACATTCATAGATATCATTATGCAACGAGTGATTTCCAGAAGATGTCTATTCTTCCTTTCTGCCAAACCATTCTGCTCTGAAGTACCTGGACAAGTTGTGTGATGAATAATCCCAAAACTGGATAAGTACTCATTAAATTCCTTGTTCACATACTCTGTGCCATTATCAGTGCGAAATGTTTTCACACAAGCATTATATTGCGTTCTGATCATATTATGAAAATCAACAAAGCATTCAAACACATCGTTCTTGTTCTTCAACACATAAACCCAAGTCACTCTAGTACAACAGTCAATAAAGGTAACAAACGAGCGATATCCATTTAAAGATGAAACTCCACTAGGACCCCACACATCAGAATGTATAACTTGAAGTGGCGTGTCACTTCTATTATCAGACGATGTATAGGAGCTACGTGTTTGTTTACCATATTGACAAGCGTCACATACTAGACTCCCCTGGTTAACTTTACTATAAAGAGCAGGATAAAGCCTACCAAGGGTGACAAAAGACATATGTCCTAGCCTGCGGTGGTGAAGAAGGAATTCGTCAAGTGGTGAAAGGGACGCAACAGCTGCAACCACAGGTGGCATATTATTATCCAGATAATACAGTCCATCATGCATGATCCCCGTCCCAAGTCTTCTTCCAGTCCCAAGTTCCTGAAACAAGCACCATGATGGAAAGAAGATAGCAACACAATTAAGTTCATTTGTGATGCAACTGATGGATAGCAGATTTATTGGGAACGAGGGAACATGCAAAACAGATGACAAAGACATATCAATGCTACACATAATTGTTCCTGATCCCATAATGGTTTGGGAGGAGCCATCAGCTAATTTAACGGTTTTCTTATTTAAATCAGGAGTATAGTCAATAAAATTTCTGTAGGAACCAGCCATATGTCTAGATGCACCTGAATCTAATAACCATGGTGCATCAATGGACTTATCTATCACAGTGTGAGAGTTGTTACCACCGAAATTTGCTAAGGCAGCAGAGGTAGGCGCTTCAACAGTTGTCTTGTCACCTAGAGAAAGCCCCTTGAATTGGCACCACTTCTCCCAATCCTCAGCAGTCATCTCAACACTCATAGTTTGGGTGGTATTTTCAGTGATCACCGACGTGTTTGCTTTAGCAGCAGGGCGTGTACCTCGCCCACGGTAGCCTCGTCCTTCAAGCCCACGGCCACGGCCTCTTCCACGCCAGTCCTGCCCTCTTCCTCTGCCGCCTCCCATTAACTCAGGGCATGAAAACTTCAAATGTCCTGGCTGACCGCACTCGAAGCATTTCTTCTCAGTTGTATTTGATCCCAACCTTTGATAATTTCCACCCTCTACTGCATAGAGTGCTGATCGCCGCTGCATGATACCTTGCATCACTGACCCGGCTGCCTCTAATTTCAATCTGGTTTCCTCACTAATGATAGCTGATATTGCCTGCTCCAGTGTAGGAAGCTTTCCGCTACCATACAGTGCAGCCCTCCTGTTTTCATACTTAGAATGAAGTCCATTTAGGAAGTCCCTCACACGTCTCTTTTTCGTCCACTTGTTAAATTTCTCAATACACTTACCACACTCCATATCAATTGGATCAAAGTAATCAATCTCACTCCACAATCTCTTCAATTCGGACACATAATCCACAACTGATTTGTCACCCTGACTCAACCCCTGCAGCTCCTTCTGAATTTTACAAGCAAGCATCTCATTACCGACTCCAGAATATGTACCTTTCAGTAGCCGCCAAATTTCTGACGCCTCCTTAATCCTTTCCACCTGCTTAGCAATTTGAGGTGAGACTGAACTCAGCAGCCATGCTCTCACCAATGCGTTGGTCATCTTCCACTTCTGGCCTTCCTTGGAGTTCTCGTCAGCTGGTTTTTCAATTGCCCCATGTATATAGCCCTCTAGACTTCTTGAGACAAGAATTGTCTCTTCGTGCTCTGCCCAACTTGCATAGGTTTCAGACCCATCTAACTTCACCAGGGGCATTTGCAATGGATGAACCTCCTCCTTGACCTCTGCTTCTGGTTTTGAACTCCCTCCTTGCTTGCTCATAGCCTCGAACAACAATCTGTATTTATCATCCATGGCTTGCAACACCGCTGCAAGCTCCCCTGCCGTGACTCCCGATGGAGCGGCATCCTTGTCACCCATCGTTGCAAACCTCTCCTTGATGTGCTGCTCTGACCTGGTCTTCAGCAGCCCAGAAATCCTCTTGCTTCAGGACCAAGCACACTTGTGACCTTTGGTGCTTCTTTCTCTGTTGCAACACAACAGCAGCTCCTGCCTCCTCCTGGACACAAATCTTTCCCAGCAACACCACGCAACCACCTCCAGGGAACACTCTCCTACACCTCTGCTTGGCACCTCCAGCCTGCTTCCACACCTACAGTTCTGCTCGCCTCCAAATCAGTGGATCTCCACCAACTGCTGCCCCAACCGAACACAATCCGTGCGCTGGCTCTCTCTGCCGGCGACACCCTTGCCGAGGCTTCCGATTTCGAGCAGCCTGCACAAGGCTACAAGCAGGAGCACCACTCCCAGGTCGCACAGCCACCAGCTTCAACTCCAACCCGCTGCACCGCCTCACACCCTGGCCGCAGCTCCTTCTATTCGCTCCAGTCCACCACCAGAAGCACTCCTCTTCTCTCCTCGACCACAGCAAGGAGCGCCACCATTCCCTTGGTCGCCGGCGGCGGCTACAGCACCTGCTCTGACACCATGTTGTTGGATTTTGTGGATTTCTCTTCTCTAGTCAGGAAGCTAAGGGGGGAAGCTAGGGATTTCTGGAAGAACCTTATCTCCCGATTCATTCCTCCTTGTCTCAGTATATACAAACTACATTTACATTTTAACCCTTCTCACTTTCCTATTTGCAACTAACTCCTCACAACAGAAAACTTTTGAGAAAACACTCACATAGACAAGATTCACCACCAAAGTACTCAAATCTCATGCCAAAACGAGACGCACGTCAAGATCCAAGCAGCAACAAAAGGAAAAGATAACTAGGGTAGTTCTTCCAAATCTCTAGGAGAGATGGGTCTTGAGAGATAGTTATTCCCCAATCCAAAGGATATGGATGTCTTGATAATCCAAGAGGATTCTTCTCCTGAAAGAGCTCTTGATCTCCAAGGGAGAGGGTAGATTGAGCAAAGCTCTCTCAAGATTTAGTCTATACTTTGCTAACCCTAGATCTTAGAGAAGTACGGGTATTTATAGCCTAGGCATGAAGGGGTATGGGGAGGGGAGATACACGGACCTTACCCAAAATCTGTACAGACAGAACTACTGGACAGTTAGGTCAGAGTGGACGGGACAGTCTGGTGGTGCAATTCTTCAGAGGCTTCAGCGCCGACCGGACAGTCTGGTCGGTTTGGAGGGTTGAGGGCGAGGTGCGAGCGCCAACTAGACAGACTGTCTGGTTGGTTGGACAGGACAGTCTGCTCGACCTCTGGTCGCTCCAGAGGGTTGAGGCCGAGGCGCCAGCGCTCTCCTGACTGTCCGGTAGTGCGGATTTTGCACTGGTTTTCTTCCTTCTCTTCGTCTTTGAGTCTCCGCTCCTCGCTTGGGACTTGGGCTTCCTTCCTTGCTTCTCCAGGTTCATGCCTTCATATCTAAGCATACATAGCATTCCGGATTAAGCTAGAAGCCATGTCTCATCCAAATACATAGGGACCTCAAGTAGGAGTGAAGTCACCTCAGTTTGATGGCACCCGGGCGAGCTCTTGTCATCGGTCCACTTGGATTTTGTGGGGTTGATGATGGGTTCACGGTGATGTCCATGGGATGCTCCGCATGCCATCTTTGGTCCACCTTCCCAGTCTATAGCTCAATCTTGTCATATGGCAACTGTACTTTTGGTTATTTGCTTGTCTCCAGGATCTTCTTCCCAGTCCAGATGCTAAAATGTTACATCAAGTCTCAACATCAAATTTGTGTTCCCTTGACAATTTGTTACACATGGCGTAACAACTATTAGGAAAACCTTGTCAGAGGTGGAGGCTGAAGGCCAGGTTCTCCCTGATGGAACTCTTGTTGTGTATGTATTCAGTGATTGGCTTATTGTTTGTGGCTTGACAGTTGGCAGTTTAGCGATTGCTGCAGTCTTGCAGAATGTTCATTAAAGTATTTTTGGAAAATGCAGAAATGACAGGAAGGTCGCTGTGGTGTATTTTAGAGCTGGCTATACACCAAACGATTATCCTTCAGAAGCAGTACGTGTATACATTGTTTCCACCCTTCAACACAGCATTTTTTGTGACAGTTCCTCTGATTGAAAACCAAATTACCATAGAAGTGTTTTCTTTGAGATAATATGGCTTCATTTTAAATTATTTGAATACTGTTAAGCTTCATGCACTAGCCAACGCAACCAAAAGTCCGAACTGATGGAAAGGGCTAGGCAATCCACATATACACTTCAACACCCCCTATCACGCGTGACGTGGGAAGTCAACACATGAATAGACTCAGAGGTACGGAAGAGGCCTATATGTGGACACAGAGGATAAATTACGAAAGCCAGGACTTGAACACAAGACCTTAGGCTCTGATACCATATTAAGCTTCATGCACTAGCCATCACAACCAAAAGTCCGAACTAATAGAAAGGGCTAGTCAATCCACATATACACTTCAACAAATACTTCTACATTCCCTCGTATATATTGATTTCACTAGTCGTTAATAGGGTCAACACTGAAGCAAAATTTGTGTATGTCTTGTGGATGTATAGCAATTGTTTTTGTTATTAATCCCCATGGCATATTTCTTGTATATTCTAGGAATGGAGTGCAAGGCTTTTGATGGAACAATCATCTGCTGTGAAGTGTCCTTCAATATCATATCATTTAGTCGGGACCAAGAAGATTCAACAAGAACTAGCAAAACCTAACGTGCTTGAAAGGTGATTCAGTTTTTGAGTACCAATGACTTGAATATTCCAATGATGTGAACTGCATATGGACACGTTGTAGTATTGTCGCTGTACTTCTGCCATTAGTGATCAGATCAATTATCAGTCTTTGGTAGACATTAAAAGCCTATCTGACCATAATTTGTTCCCTCCACAGGTTTCTTGAAAATAAGGAGGAAATCGCCAAGCTCCGTCAATGCTTTGCAGGGCTATGGAGCTTGGATGATGAAGAGGTTGTCAAATCTGCGATTGAAAACCCTGACTTGTTTGTCTTGAAGCCTCAACGTGAAGGCGGAGGTTTGTTTTATGCAGTAACATATGAATATTATTTTGCTCATTAGTTGTTTTCTTAGGAGTTTTTCTCATTATTTGTTGATATGCTATTCATGCACAGGGAACAACATATACGGTCTTGATGTGCGAGAGGCTCTGATCAGACTCAAGAAGGAAGGAGGAGATGCTCTCTCAGCCTACATACTGATGCAAAGAATCTTTCCCAAAGCATCTCTCGCTAGTCTGGTCCGTGGTGGTGTTTGCCATGAGGCCCTCACAGTATCTGAGCTTGGGATGTATGGAGCCTACCTGCGGTATAATAAGTGCTTGAAACACAGAAGTCCAAACACTAGCGCTCCTCATAAGATGGTGCTTCCTCTGACAAACAGGTCATGACTCTGATTTCAGGAACAAAGATAAGGTGATCATCAATGACAAGTGTGGTTACTTGATGCGAACAAAAGTTTCTTCTTCGGATGAAGGCGGTGTTGCTGCGGGATTTGCTGTTTTGGACAGCTTATACCTGACCGACAAGGTGATACACGGTGGTTCACATTAGTTTGTGCACATACATTTCATAACAATAAAACTATATTCTGTTTGAAGTGCATTGGCTGTAGGTAATTGGTCCTGTGACCTGTCTGATATTTTTGGGGAAATCTGGAAAAAATATATAAAGAAAAACATCTGTTACATTCCAGCCTCTCCATGGATTGGTGCAAACAGCCAGGAAAATCTAAATGACTTGATAATTTCGGAAGCGACTTATCAAACTCAAAGCTTCATAAATATCCTATCTATAATGTGTAGGCTTATTTGGCACCAAACCAGTATGTTACATACTCCCTCCGTTCCTAAATGTAAGTCTTTGTAGAGATTCCACTATAAACCGCATACGGATGTATATAGATGCATTTTAAGTTTAGATTCATTCATTTTGCTCCGTATATAGTCCACCTAGTGAAATCTCTACAAAGACTTATACTCCCTCCGTCCGGAAATACTTGTCATCAAAATAAATAAAAGGGATGTATCTAGACGTATTTTAGTTCGAGATACATCTCTTTTATCCATTTTGATGACAAGTATTTTCGGACGGAGGGAGTATTTAGGAACGGAGGGAGTAGTTATTTGAAACATGTTCTTCGTATGTACTGCTGTAGGCAGTGTTAAAGACGCATCCCATCAGTGATTAAACATTAAATACATGATTTTCTTCCTTGGTCGTGGATGTGCACTGAGTTCTTTCAGTTTGGCTTAGAAATGATGTTATTTCAAAAAAAGTTTGGCTTAGAAATGTTTGGCTTTCCTTTTTTTTCTACATGGGTAGTCGTTGATGGAAGGTTTGCTTCTTGCAGTGATATCACCTCAGGAATAGCAGCTACAAATCCGAACCAGCATTGACCTACCATGGATTTAGCATTCTGTTGCATCGGTCGCAATAAATGAGATGAACAAAGTTGCTGCACAATTTGCAGACGTCAGCCATTAACATACAGCACACTGTGTGAAGAATAAATATGTCATGTATAGATGACGTGTGTATGTATGGAAAAATAATCCCCGTGAAAAAACGGATTACAAATTCTTGTTTCGTGGATCACTACACCCTTGATTCGGGGCCAGGCAGTTGTGTTATACTGTTAATGTGAATTTTCAGCGTTGCCATTTCTGTTGGTCGATCATATACGAAGAAGTTAAGAATTCTGTGAGATGCAACTTTTTTGAGTGTAAAAAAGACCATATGGGCATGATCATCATGGAAAATTCTCCGCTCTGCTGTCGTATGCTTTGGATGCTATCATGCACCGGTCAGGGATGTTGTCGAAATCAAGCAGTCGAGCACATCTATAACATCCTGATTCTCGGAATGTTTAAGAAAACTTTTACCAAAAGTTAGGGCGAAAAAATTCATTTGTTTTATTTGGTAACAAAGATTAAATTGGACTTATATAATTTGGAGGATTTAATTTGATCTAATGCAAACTTAAATTTATATTGAGTTTGATCTTCTCTTTTAGTTGGGGTTTGGTTTTCTCCCTTCAACATATTAAATTATGCGCATATGTGTATTTTGGAACTTCTTTTGAATTTGTTAGCTTCTATTCCTTTTCTAAATTTTCCTAAGAAGAAAAATCTATTTAATTTCGTTTCCCAAACTCTAGGCAATTTCCAATGCCTTTTTTTAGGTGTAACAAGGGATTTATTCAAAGCTTAAAATGTTTGGAATACAAATAATGTCTGAGACAGTCCCTAGCCACACATGGCGGCCCACGTCAAGAGACGACGCGACCTTAGCTAATCTATCAGCCTCAGTATTACACTCCCTGGGCTCATGGCGGAAGGTAACATGCTCAAAGTCTCTTCTTCTACTCCCTCCGTTCCAAAATAGATGACTCGACTTTGTATTAACTTTAGTACAAAGTCGAGTCATCTATTTTGAAACGGAGGGAGTACTTGATATTTCATGGGATTGGCGCGTAAACAGTGACTGCACCTCTGCTAATGTTTGTGACCACTTCAACGCTATCGGATGCAATTAACAGCTGCTGAACATGTAAATCCTGCCCCAGTGCGAGCGCCTCATTGCATGCCCATGCTTCCACGCTGGCTGGGTCTGAAAGTCCATCAAAGATGACGGCTGATGCACCTAGGTAGCATCCATTCTTATCTCTGCAAATTGCTGCTGCAGCACCTTTGTCTCCATGACGAGATAGACCTCCATCCACATTCATTTTCACCTCTAGACCTTCCGGAGGAAGCCACAACCTCAGCCTGTGCCGTGGCGTTGCACCTCCAGTTGATCGCTTTGCTGCAGCAGTCGTGATCTCCAAATCCTGCAGGTAACGGTTTATGAAACACATTGTAGACAAAGGACTCTGGAACTCATTGTCATGTATCGCCTTCCTTCTAGCCCACCATATAGACCACATCGTTATGAGCACACGGGCCAAGTCATGCTGTGATAAGGAATCGAATAGCCAGAAAAGCCACTGTCTAGCATCTTCAGTTTTGTTTGATATGACATGCTCAAGTATCTCTTCCTCTCCCAACGACCAAACACATTGTGCCATGCGACAGTTTAGATGTGAATGACGCCAAGTATCCTCTGTCACCGAGCATATCGAATAGGCTGGTGATGTGGCCATGTTCCGCTCTTGTTGTTCCAGTCGGCAAAGAAGTATGGGCCAGTCTCCAAACAAAAACACGCACCTTGGATGGCACTTGCACTTCCCACAGCCTTGACCAATCATTCTTTACCGCTGCTTGATTTGGAATGCTCACCCGGTTTTCCAACCAATCTTCCCGCTGGAACTTGATTCCCAATAACATTCGATAAGCCGATCGCACGGAAAATATTCCCCTCCGTTCATAGTGCCATGCCCAGAAATCGCTATGGGATCTCGTACTCAAAGGAATATTCAGAATAGCATCTATTTCTGGTGTGATAAAGTGCTCATCTAACACTTGTCTGTCCCAAGTTCTGGTTGTTTGGTCAATCAGTTCGGACACTATTGAGGTGGGTTTTGCTGACCGAGCACAGATAGGGCGAAGTTTATAATCCCTTGGAAGCCAATTATCGAGCCATATATGTGTGTCCGCACCAGTACCAATCCGTTTGACTAGTCCCATGGCTAGAACGTCTCTTCCTTCCCTTATAGAGCGCCAAATCTGAGAGGGGTTAGACCCAAGTGCCGCTTCCAGGAAATCCACATCCGGGAAGTACCTTGATTTTAGCACACGGGCGCTCAAGGAGTTCAGATCTTGCAATATTGTCCAAGCTTGCCTAGCTAGCAAGGCCAAATTGAACAACTCAATGTCACGGAAGCCCATCTCGCCCATATACTTCGGTTTTGACATCGTCTTCCACGGGACCCATGCAGTCTTCCGTTCACCTCTTCTGCTTCCCCACCAGAATTTCCTCAAAAGTCCATTAATATGATTACACAGACCCCGGGGAAGCTTGAAACAGGACATCGAATATGTAGGTATAGACTGAGCCACCGATTTAACAAGGACCTCTTTCCCTCCAGCGGATAAGCACTTCTCCATCCACCCCTACACATGCTTCTGGACCCTATCCTTCAAATATCTGAAACATCCCTCTTTTGATTTCCCAACATCAGTTGGTAAGCCCAGATACTTCTCTGACAATGATTCGTTTTGTACTGCCAATGCATTTTTGATTTCACACCTTAAACTGTCTGCAACCCCTTTATTGAAATAAATTGAGGATTTATCTGCATTTATACGCTGACCAGAAGCGTCACAATATAAGTGTAGCAGGTCCCGAACTTGCTCTGCTTCAGCGTTTGAGGCTTCGGAAAAAAGTAAACCGTCATCTGCGAACAGAAGATGATTAACCTCCGAAGCCGACGGTGCCACCTTAATACCCCGTATACCATTCTTCAGTAAACATGACAAACCCTCCGCCGCAATAAAGAACAAGTAAGGGGATATTGGCCCCTCCTGGCGAACACCACGAGATGGCCTGAAACCATCCAAACTACCTCCATTGAATAACACCGAGAAAGAAACCGATGAAACGCACCTCATTATTGTATTCGTGAACCGTTGATGATTCCCAACTTCAGCATAACTGCCTTCAAATAAGGCCACTCTAATCGATCATAAGCCTTCATCATGTCCAATTTTAGAGCACAAAACTTGTTATTCTTCACTCGCCTGGTTTTCATATAAGGCAAACTCTCGTAGGCTGTTATGAAATTATCCGTGATAAGTCGTCCAGGAACGAACGCAGACTGCTCTTCTGAGATCACCACTGGGAGAATCATTTTCAGCCTATTTGCTAAGACCTTTGACGCGATCTTGTAGATCACATTGCAAAGGCTTATTGGCCGAAATTGTCCTAATAATTTTGGACTTGCAAGTTTAGGGATCAAAACGATGAACGTACAGTTAATCTCCTCTGGTGAATCAACTCCATCGAGCACTCTAATGATCATACATGTGATCTCGTCACCACACAAATCCCAATGCCTCTAAAAGAAGTGCGCCGGAAACCCATCAAATCCCGGAGCTTTTGTGGGGAACATTTGGAATAATGCTTCTTTTACCTCCTCTTTACTGCATGGTCTGTTCAAGCGGACATTCATCTCGGCATCCACTCTTGGTGGAATATGAGAAAGCACTTCATCCATACCAATGGTTCCCTCCGACGTGTAGAGATTAGCATAGAACTCAGTGGCCATTTGCGCCAACTCCCCAGGATCGGTACAGATTGTACCATCAGATTTCTGGAGTTGCGTTATCCTATTTTTTGCCCTCCGGGCACTTGCCTTTTTCTGGAAAAATTGTGTATTCCTGTCGCCTTCCGCGAGCCACTGTATCCGGTATCTATATCTCATCATGATCTCCTCCACTAGTGAAATTTCAATCATGCGGTCCTGGACTCGTTTTTCCTCTTCACTTGGTCCGACCCGACCAGGGGAAACACGTAAAGTTGCCAACTGTTGCCGTAGCAAGCGCAACTCCTGCCTGACCGATCCAAACGACCGCCGTCCCAATTGTGCCAGAGCTGAAGCAAAAGAGTTTAGCTTAGAAGCTAGCTCAACGACTGATTGTGATGGTTGGTTCGTATGCCATGCTTCCTCCACCACTTGATTAAAATCTTCCTTATTTTCCCACATGCATTCGTAACGAAAGGGCCTCTTTAGCACATGCCTCGTATTAGTAGTTTCCAACTCTATTTTCAGCAAGATAGGGTAATGGCCTGATTTAGTAGCTGTGAGGTGCTCAAGAGATGCAAAAGGGAACAGTGCAGACCAGCTGGGACTGGCTAAAGCACGGTCCAAACAGACTCTGCAAAACTCGCCACCTCTAACTCTTTTTTCCCACGTCCAGTCCAGTCCTTTATAACCCAGGTCGGCAAGCTCGCACACATCAACCGCCTCCCTGAATCCTGCTATTTGTCCGCTGTCACGGGTATTGGGACCCATGTGTTCCTCCGTGCGCGATACCTCGTTAAAATCTTCGATGCATACCCATGGGAGTGTGCTCTCCCCTCGCAGCCGCTTCATCATCTGCCAAGTATTATACCTCAGGCTTCTATTGGCCTCTCCATAAAAACAAGATAAATGCCATGCATCCGCACCCGGCTGTGAGACCCATGAGTCTATGTGATACTGCGAAAAGTTCTTTATTACCAGATTAACATTGTCTTTCCAAAAAACACATAAACCTCCACTATGACTACTACTCAGAACAGCAAAACTACTAGAAAAACCTAAAGAGCTAGACAGTCAGATGTAGGGTAGAACCCTAGAGGCCGATCTTTCACGTTTGGAGCGGATCCCTATGAAGAACACGAAGAACACAAGGAGGGGAACGAGGGAAAAACACGAGAGAACACTCAACCAACAAGAATAAAGTCACACATGCGC